GTGTTTAAGCTATCGATCATGAGTTCAAGTCATTGGTCGTGAGTTCAAGCTATCAGTCGTGGGTTCAAGTTATCGACAGTGAATTCAAGCTATCAGTTGTGAGTTCAAGCTATCGACCGTGAGTTCAAGCTATCAGCCGTGGGTTCAAGCTATCGACCGTGAGTTCAAGCGATCGGTTGTGACTTCAAACTATCGCATGTGGGTTCAAACCATCGACCGTGAGTTCAAGCTATAGGTCTTGAGTTCAAGCTACTGGCCGTGAGTTCAGCTATCAGTTGTGAGTTCAAGTTCAAGCTATCAGTCGTGCGTTCATGCTATTGGTCGTGCATTCATTCTATCGACTGTACGTTTCAACTATCGACAATTTGTTAAAGTTTTCCACCGTGCGTCAGCCATCACCACTACCGAAATCTAACATATAAATCACAAAATATTTTAAAAGAATTATACAAATATAATTAAAATAGTAATTATGGAGATTTCATGTTTTAAGGGGTCGGTCTGGTTAGAGAAGTCGGCCCGACCGACCTATTGTTAGGTCATTCTCTGTCTATGCTCTAAAATATTAGACAATTTGGAATTTATGGCCTCATTCTCTCAAGACTAATATAGCGACTCCTGCCTCTCATGATGCTCTAGTTGGGAAATTAGATGAAAATTAAATTTTCAAATATTTAATCTAAATGAAGTGTAAATATATTGCGTTTTGATTTTTATAGTTTTAAGTTACAGTTATGTAACATTTCAATCTAATTTTTATATTTTCATGTAAAATTTTATTTTTAAATTTTGATTATTAATTTATGCCATACATATCTTTTTGGTTAAGACCACAAATAATTGGAATAATGTTAATGGTGAGAAAAAAAATATATTGATGTTTCCATCATGGAGTTCCTTTGGACGATTTATTATCGTATTATATAGAATCTTCATCTAAATATTTTTATGTTTTTATTTTCTATTTCTTCTTTCTAGTTTAATTTTGTTAAAAACTAATTTTAGATAACAAATGAGTGAGACAATAATTTATGGGAAATATTTATACACTTCCCTAACTATATGGAAGATATATACTCCCCCCCCCCTCTTCCCCCATTCAGTCATCCAATTTAGATCAAGTGAGCCATTGACCGTTTGATCTATAGATTCGATGCCTTAAAGTACTTTATTTTCAATTATTTTTCTACAAATCATATGAATATGAAATTTTCTATGTGCCATCATCTCAATGAGGCGCACTTAAAAATAATATTAAAAAATACTTTTGATAAAATACAATGACCAATTACCCCTAATAATTTTAGGGGCATTTTGGTTATTGAATTTTATTGGGAATATGTTTTTTTATATTTTTTATTGGCATGAGTTTAATAGAAGAGTGGACGCCCACATTCTGCTCCCATAAAAGCAAAATGTTTCTTGACCGCCAACATTCTACTCCCATAAAAGCAAAGTAGTTCCACAGTTGTCCTATAGAATTTGTCCTTAAGCTTTATTGGTATACGATGATCAAATAAAACTTTGGTTGTGCATATCCAATTTGCTCACCCAGCTCGAATTCTATGTATGACATCTTCTTCAATTTCTCTATTTTTCTAGATTATCGAACCAAGATATTGACGGTGCGCTTTGTTTTGGTATTTCTTGGCCATTAATCACTCTCTACCGTTGCTTAATAGTGTAGCTCATAAGTTTGATATCTCGATAGTTCCACAATTTTATATGTTTCATTTGTTCTTGTAAATAGGTACCACAATAATTTTCCTCTATCAATCTGGCATTCTCTTTATTCTCAACACCTTATTGAACAACTTGGTCAGCCATTCAATGGCAATCTCCCCCATGCACTTTCAAATCTGCATCGGGATACCGTCTAGTCTTAAAACCTTTCCTATCTTATCTTCTTCAAAGCTTCTTGGATTTCTGACATCTTAATCCCATAAATGTATCTATGACTTCCACTTTCAACTCCTTGTTCCTATTATACTCATCAATAAACAATAAATAAATAACCGATAAAAATAATGTAGACCATTCATTACTATTCATTTTTATCATGCGTATATACTGTATTTTGAACCGCAAGGATCTAAATAAAAAATGCATCTAGCATGAGTTAGAATATGCATTATGTCCTATCGATTTTATTTTTTTGTAACCGCTTTAAATAAATGAATCTTTTGTTATATCTAAATAAATAAATGTTATATCCTATATCATCGAATCTTTTGTTCGGTTTCGTTTTTACTTTTCCCTTAAATAAATGAGAAGCGCACTGTCGCTCTCGTCTTCTCGTATCACCCCTGTGTCCGTGTCCGTATCTTTCAATCACATGGTTGATTCATTTCAGTTTACGAGGAGAGACGTCTCCTCCACACGTCCCATCTACATTCCCTTGCATGATTCAGACTCACGGCATGACCCCAAAATACATAAAAGAAAAGAGACCAACGAAGATTCCAAAGAGGCTCCAGAATTGCGGGAAAATTTATTGGTATTATTACTTTATTTTTTTGAAATTATAAATTTTATATATATATATATATATTACTTTTTTTTTTTTTGTGTACAATTTGTGAACATATCTATTTATTTATTTTTTTGCCACCTTGTTAGATTTGTTAGGTTTTTTTTAGCACGAATCTAATAAGCTCGAGGAATGTTAGATCTATAAAAGTTGATACTGGTGAGTGCTAACATCGAAATAGTGTTTGTGTTTCTTCAAATCTCATAGGTCCATAGTGGTGTCAATTGCCATGGATTTGTTGGATATGTAGTGCTAGAAAGTAGTATAGATACACCAGATCTGCAAATGGGACAATCTAAGTATAAAACATAAAGGGAAAAATATAGGTGTAAATTACAAAAAAATTGAAATATCTTTATAGAAAAAACTTATATAAGTTCACAACCTCACACTATTGAAAGAAGATGCACTTAAAAAATCCTTCAGAAGAGAGTGTCCAGACAGCCGGGAACCCTCCAATTCATCATCTCGACTATCGATAGTAAACAAAAAAAATTGAATTTTAAGCAATAAAAATAGTAGATCTCTTAACAAGTTATGTAGAAATTTTATTTTTTAAATTTTCAAATTTTTATAAATTACCATTACAAAATTTTAAATTTGACAACATCGGAGCTGCATCTCCCACTAAAATTTAAAGGTGGGCTTTGCTTCGATGGCTTATTAGGGAGGACATCTTGTACAAGGCTCACTTAATTTTATAATTTCAAAAATATTGGATGATTATTAGCTCTAATTTCTCCTATGATAATAGTAGGTGCCACTGTTTAAAAAAACGTCGAGTCGAACCGGACTCGCCTGGTTCGACTCGGGAATCGTCATGGACGGATCGAATCGGCGAAAAAAACGGAAATCGTTCGGTTCTAGAGAGAACCGGACGATTCTGTACAGTGACTCGCCGATTCACTATATGGAATCGGCGAGTCCGTACAGTGAGTCGGCGAGTCCCGTACGGAATATTTTTTTTATTTTTATTTTTATTTATTTATTTATTTTTTTGTTTTTTGTAATCCATAATAGATTTTTTTGTAATACTTGATCGATTTTTTTGTAATCCATGATCGAATTGTTTTTTTTTTTTGTAATCCATGATCGAATTTTTTTGTAATCCATGATCGAATTTTTTTTTTTTTGTAACCCATGATAAAATTTTTTGTAATCCATGATCGAATTTTTTGTAATCCATGATCAAAATGTTTGTTTTTTTTCTTGTAATCCATGATCGAATTTTTTGTTTTTTGTTTTTTTTGTAACCCATGATAGAATTTTTTGTAATCCATGATCGAAATGTTTGTTTTTTTTTTTGTAATCCATGATCGAATTTTTTGTTTTTTGTTTTTTTGTAACCCATGATAGAGTTTTTTGTAATCCATGATTGAATCTTTTGTAATCCATGATCGAATTGTTTTTTTCTTTTTTTGTAATCCACGATTGAATTTTTGTTTTTTTTGTTTGTTTTTTTTTGTAATCCATGATCGAATTTTATGTAATCCATGATCGAATTTTTGGTAATCCATGATTGAATTTTTTGAAAATTTGTGATTTTTTTTTTTAATCCATGATCGAATTTTTTTTGTAATCCATGATAGAATTTTTTGAAAATTTATGATTTTTTTTTTTTAATCCATGATCGAATTTTTTTTTGTAATCCATGATAGAATTTTTTGAAAATTTATGATTTTTTTTTTTTAATTCCATGATCGATTTTTTTGAAAATTTGTTATTATTTTTTTTAATCCATATTATTCAAAGAGAAAATGAGAGAGATGATGATTCAGAGGCCACCCTATCCCAGCCATATTATTCACATATCGAGTCCCAACAGCAACAGTGTAGGGATGAGCACGACAGTGCAGGTGAGCATGAAAGATGGACAATCTTCGGGGATTTTAGATTGGAAACATAACAAAACACTAACACTCAGGGATTTGAGAATAGTCAGACGTCTGCTAATATCGATAATTCGTTTTTAGATCGAATCAATGAATTGTTAAACGAATTCAATCAATGGCATCAGCGTGACCAAGAAAAACAATAACATCGTCTATCATTTTATTTTTAGATCATATGTTACTAATTTTATGCTTTATTGTAGTCCATGTATGTTGATATACTTATTTCATGATAATTATATTTTATCCTTTTGTGTGATGTAAATTAAATGCTGAATGGCGGTTCATGCAGGGAAAGAACATATCAATATTCGCATATTCATTCAAAAACATGAAAATTCTTAATGGAGTACCCTCATTTCTTATTGAATTCCTAAAAAATAATATTTATAATGAATTTTAATAATTTTTTCGGATTTTTTTTAAGCTTTATACTCACCGATTCATCCGATTTCCTATCCCGATCGCCGATTCGCCGATCCGGATAGGTTGTTTGGAAGCTCAATCCGGGTCACCGATCCGTTGTTTAAACCATTGGTAGGTACTATTTAGATATCAGCAGGCGGTGGTAGGTACTATTTAGATATCAGCAGGCGGTGTTGATAGGCTTGGTGACGATGGCGATGGCTACTTCCTCTTGCTCTTCACCGTGGGTTGCTCCCTTTCTATCCACCGCCACCTGCAACAATGGGATCAAGTTCCGTTCACTGTGGAAATGCAATGACAAACGCTCTCTCTTCAATTTAATCGTGTGCAAATCCTCCTCAGAGCATCATCATAATCATCCTTTTGCGAATGGTTCGCCTCTCCACGATGCCCTAGATGCCTGTGGAGTCGATACTCACCATGCCAGAGTCAGTCGCCCCGCCCCTTCTCTCTCTCTCTCTTTTTTTCAGAGAAACGATGAAATTGCTCTCTATTTATTTCTATTTCATTTCCATTTTATTCTTTTGCTTGCAAAAAAACGAAAATGGAAATCCTCTCTCTTTCTCTCTTCTTCTTGCTGTTGGAAAAATCATGCGATTTTCCGTTTTAGTTTCTTCCTGTGATCCGAAAAACAATAGCTCTCTCCACAAGCCTGCAATTATAAACATGATGAACTCTCTCTCTCTCTCTCTCTCTATGCAGGCCGCAAGGAAAGGCTTTCTCAAGCAGATTGACGGGCTCTCTGTGATTGAAAAGGAGACGAGCATTGCCATAAACAGGCCCGTCGACCTGGGAAGAGCTGCACTCCAAATTGCTGCAGAGGATGATGCCCTAATCTCCCATTCTTCAGTACCATTGCCTGTCGATTCCTTTGTGGAGAGGCTTGATGACCTTTCTATGGACTTCTTTGCTCACCATCTGCCCCTTACTAGACCTCCACCTGATGCCTTCATCCAGAGTTTGGAGAGGTACTTCTACGTTCACAAGGTACTTCAGATTTTTCTATCCGATCCTTTGCTCAAAGGATGGTTGTCTTTTTTCGAAATTTATGATGTTTTCTTTAATGAATTACTGCTTATGAATGGGAACTAAAGGTGGATCTTTTTGCTACTGACGAAATTTGGTGTTGTTCTTTTTGCCTGTTTTGAATGGTATAATGATCAGGGAGTGAGAGAGATTTTGTTAGGAAATGGTGTTGGAGTTGGTCTTGTAGGTCCCTTACCTTGGTAGGTACATTGAGCAGAGTTGTCAAAAGTTGTTATGAGGTGGGAGCAAAGGTATTGGTACTGTTGGTGTACAGATGATTGAAAGGACCATTTTCATATATTTTTCGGTTTGTTTTTTGAAATTTGTTTATATCCCCTAGTTATACCACCCACCTCTAGGAAACTTGGCTTGGCCCATAGGGTGAGGTGAAGTTACTCGCCCTAGTCCAAGTGGACTCGAGTGAGTGACGGTATACTATTTCCATGTATCATATAGTTAAAACTTGGGTATATGACAATGATATTGTGAAGCTATGTTTCGATACAGATATGGCATTGGGGTGTCAACAGTATGATTGTTTCTTATGTGTCTATGTAGTGGGAAAGGTAAAGATCTAGGTAACTACGAAAACAATCCATTTGCAAATATATTTTTGAAAGCAAATCATGGTTGTGTGATGCAAAGTAGGATTTGATTCTTTTCAAATCAACACCTTAATTTGCAAAAACTCAATAAACTAATAAGCCTTAAGGGAAAAAAAGAGTAAAGAATGTAGAAAACTAGTAAAAGCAATGAGGAATCCACCTCCAAGTTTTATTATCCTAAAGTACTTCAACGAAAACGTCGAAAAGTAACAGAATTGCCCCAAAACGTTTTAGTAACAAGTATATAAGCAAATTCAAAACCCTAAAAAGCTCCTACGAAATTTTAGCTATCCATTTTCTTTTAATCCTAGCCATCCATTATTAACCTAAAATAAATGATCAACCCTACCCCTAACAAAATCATAAATAACTACTAAAATAAAATAAAATAAAAACTTAAGACAACTTCTCTTAGTCCCCTCAATTAAATTCCAACAAAAAGCCCAAAGAAAAACCTAAATATGCCCATCCTATGCCTGTATCAATTTCCTCTGGTTGGAAAAAACTTGTCATGGAGTTCTGAAGAGGCCTAAGATGAGATTTGCATCAAATCCAAAACCTTCTTTTACCTTCTTCTCTACTGGTTCAAAAAGTAATGGCTGCAAAAACACCTTACGAAATGGATCAACATATGAAGATCGGGGAATTAATGCAAATATCTCAAACTTAGCCGTCTTTTCATCATATATGGGTTTGTCATTGGCATTTTCCTCCTCAAGATCCAACCAATTGCCTGAATTGGACTTTAATGGAGTGGAAAATGGAACTCAGGAGATCAATTTTGCTTCCATGTTCGCCCTTTTTTTTCAAACAATTGAAGGCTTCATTGAACTCTTCATTAACTAGGACCACTTGAGGTTGGTTAGGATTAGGAACGAGATGAAAGTCACCTTCTTTAGAGGTGCCGTGATTTCCAACACCGGTCTCTGGATTCCTTCCATAATGCAAGCCTTGCATTATTGGATGCACTACTTGATCCATAAGGAGTTTATTCTATACTCGTATCATGAAGCACTTTGGTACACCTTGTGCTAAGTTGATAACCTTCATTCAAGTATATGACTTCCTATTGAAGCACAAGGTTGGAACCCAAAACAAGCAGCTGATGATTTAAGTAGAAGGGTGGCTTTGCTTGGAACTTTGGCTATGGAAGAAGGGATTTGAAATGATAAAAAACCAATATAAGGATGATCCAATTTTCAGCAAGGTCCGGGAAAGATGCATATAAGGGTGAGACCCTTATGGCTGAGAGTACCTAATGTGTGATGGCTATGGGGGTGTGTGATTATGTACTAGAGTGCTCCCTAAGGGAGAGGAGAGTTATGGAGGTTTGCAATGGAGGCTTAGGTGGACACTTTAGAGACAAAACTTTGGCCATGGTGAATGAAAAAATGTTTTTTGCCATCCATGTGAAGGGATGTTGACAGATTTGTGACTCGACGTCGAATTTGCGAAGTATCAAAATGTTACACACAAAATACGTGTCTTTATGCTCCCCCAAGGTCTAGATGCCCTATGGGTTGATATCTCTTCGGACTCTGTACTAGGACTCCTGCAAACTACACAAGGTGTGGACTCTATTTTTGTTGTTGTTGATCGATTTTCCTGAAAGGAACATTTTATTCCTTGTAGGAAACTAGGATGCCACACAATTGCCAATATTTTCTTCAAAAAGATCGTGAGGGTACAGGGGTCCCCAATTCGATCGGGTACAAAGTTCTTTAGTCACTTTTGGCACGATCCTTGGATGTGCCTAGGAATCAAGCTTCAATTTTCTAGCTCTTATCACTGTCAAACAGATGGGCAAACTGAAGTAGTGAATGAGTAACCCTCTTGAGTTTTGTTGGTGATAGCACATCTCAGTGGGACACCCCAGGCTAAATTTGCTTACAACAGTTCTGTCAATCGGTTGATGGGAAAATCGCCATTTGAGATTGTTAATGGTAGGACTCTTAATCATGTGCTCAACCTAGTGCCATTACCAATGCAAGGCAAGTGATCGTGCTAATGCTTTTGCTGAGCAATATTCAAGACTTGCAAGCCCAAATTAGGAAGAAAATTGAAGAAAGTAATGCAAAGTATCCAGAAGCTTCAATTGGGCATCAAAGAAGATTTTCATGGAGGGTGACTTAGTGATGGTATACTTGCAAAAAGAAAGGCTTGCATTAGGAACCTACAATAAGCTTTAGCCCAAGAAGGTAGGTCCTTGCCTAATTTTGAAGAAATATGAGAATAATGCATATGGGGTGGAATTAATGAAGGCATTGGATATCTCACTGATGTTTAATGTTGTTGATTTATTTGAATTTTATGGAGACCCTCTAGAAACTCAAGAAGAAGTAATTGTTGATATGATGAAACAATTCCAAGAAAGAAGAACAAAGAAATTGAGCTAGTTTTGAAGACCAAAGGCTTTCTCACTCAAAAGCAATCATATCACCAATATTTTGTCAAATGGAAGGGAATGTCATATTCCAATGGGCATGTAGATTTTCGAGCAAGAGTTAATGAGGGTGGATTCAGATTTATAATGCCTTTGGCCCTCTATGTTGAAGACAACCATCCGAGTCGAGTTCCTTTCAACCGGGGGTCAATGATGAGCCATACCGACCACAACCAATAGTTTGTGGTTGGGCAAAGAAAGGTCGTAGGACCATGAGGGGAGAAAATACTATAATGATGTTTTTTTGGGCTTTTTATTTTTTATTTTAGTTGTTATTTCCAATTTTGTTGGGGCAGGGTTAGTCAGCTATCTTATGGTAACAATGGATGGTTAGGATTAAAAGAAATGGATGGCTAGGATTTTGTAGGAGCTTTTTTGGGTTTTGAGTTGGCTTAAATACTTGCTATTAAAGGGTTTTCATGGAGATCTAGTACTTTTGTCGGAAAACTTTGAGTTAATAAAACTTGGAGGTGGATTCCTAGTTGCTTTTGCTAGGTTTCTTCCTTCTCTAATCTTATTTTCCCTTAAGGCTTGTTATTTTATTAAGCTTTTGCAATTAAAGGTGCTGATTTGAGAAGAATCGATAATTTGCATCATATGCAACCATCATGCCAACTTATGGTGGTCTTCGACATCTTCCATGATATCAGATGGTGAATTAGTGGATATCCAACGTAAATGTTGTATGTCGTACATATTATGTTTATCTTATACTTTCATCAACTACAGAAATGACACATAATGTTGGTGTGAATGTCTGTCTTCTTTGAACTATGCTACATATGTTGTTTGGGTGGGTGAAGTGCTAGTCTTGAATGCATATCGATCAATATATCTACACATGGTTACTGGGATCCCAAGAAGGTGGCCCCTCCACCTCCAGAAGCTAGATCTTGCCTTCGGGACAAGGGATCTTGATTCCAAACATTTTTTTGAATTTAGGGGCCTTTATCCGCAAAATTGGGGATCTAGACCCCTAGTTAATGGCATCTAGATCCCTCTCATCCAAATTATAAGTCCATGGGTAAGTAGTGGAATCGAGCCTCCACCAACTTGGATTCAGTTTTCTCTTACATTGGCACTAAAGCTCGATATTACATTTCGAGTCTCATGCACTAACCATCCTCTCTCTAACTCAGACCATAATCTCTGTGTGTGTGTGCAAGATCATATTTCTCTAAAAATTCTGAAATTTGAATGGGTTTTGATAAAGAGATCAACCAGTTGGAAACAATTCCAATTCCCACAGTGGCAACCAGGTTTTGAAGCATGTAGTTTGAACTTTGAATTTGTAAGTCACAAAATAAACACCATAACACAAAAGCTGCTGCCATATTTATGGAACACATAGACAAAGGAGAGCAACTAAACGTGAGTCATCTCCTATCATAAATCAATTTCATTTCACTCAATGGCAGTTTTATAAGCTTTATACTATAGGTCTTTGTCTCTAATGCCCTCTCATTAACCCTATCCACCATTACAGAGACCTTTGCAGGTTGGCCATTTCTTTGCCTCTGGACCCTTTTTTGCCTTTGAATCTATAGAGCGTTTGACTAGTTGCATGCCCAATCGCATGTAAGTGAAAGGACCCAAACGGAGGAAACATATTCCAATGATGACAAAAAATTAAAATGTATTTTCAAAATAAGATTCTTTGTATTTAATGCTACTTTGGTTTTTTTATTTAGAAAAAACTTTAATGTTATTGTTCAAAGCACTTCGTTCTCCAGCAAGAGTACCCTATTTGGGGAGTCCCGATTTTAAGCTGGATAGACTTTGATCCCATATACGTCATATACTTTATCATTCATTCCAGGGCAAATTTGAATCGAGCTGTCCAACTATTTGGATGACGATCCCTTTAACTAATGGTGTATGGATCTCGTTGCCTACCCCACAGATCTTCGTACATCTCTCTATCCCATGGTCCTGATCCTTATTTAGGATCTGACCTTGCTCCTGATCCTAGTAACTATGTGCCTACACATGTTCTTTAGATCCTTCTTATTTATTAACCATTGATTTCATCATTTTAAATACTTGATCTTCTTTTTTAATTTAAGTGGACACATGTGAATTTTTAAATATCAATGGAATTTGAAATATTTTACAAATATTTTATTTCCTGATAAGCAGCAACCATATATCGTTGTCTGTTCGCAATATAGCTGTATCATCAAATCATCTTCCTCAATGACATGAGGAATGCAATGGCTCATTACCATGTCTGACGTTCATGCACATACTCGTGTTCATGCAACATTGTCTTTGAACCACTATTCATCTTGACTATTTTGTCTAAAGAATACATGGTGGATGCACTGCTTATGTTTTTTTTATATGGCATATACATCTGGTGTATGCTATGCCTTCATGTATGCGATCCACTTAAGTAAATGTGGTTTCACATATCCTTGAAGGTAGCTATGTTTATAAATAAAATATGGACAAACCTAAAAAATGCCTACAGGTGAAGTGGTATAGTGTTTTGCCACTGTCACGTACTTGTTATGTCCGTGGCGGTTCATTGAATGGACTCGCAATGGACGATGCACAGTCCGTTGCGGTTTCGCATGTTTTTTTGGCTGTTACGGACCTAATATGTACGTGATAGTACCGCCATGGACATGCTAGGTCCATGGCGGTCGAAAAATGCACGCTGCCCTATTTTTTCGGGCGGTGATGAGCCTATGGGCTAAAACACTGTTCATTTTCGCCCATAGGCATTGCGTAGATGCTTCCATAAAATATTGGAGGTCAATTAGTAGCTCTCGTAGACTGACAGTTGATGATACATTCTTTTCTAAGTCTTATATGATTTATTGCACAAAAAATATTTTTTTTGAAGTATTTTTTTACTAAATAAGGAGAGCTTCTATATTGCATGGACACAGCTATGTGTGTCAATACCTGACATGGGTATGGAGTGTCAAATTCCTCGTGCCATGAAGAAGATTTGGTGACATGGCTATATTATGAAGAGACAACTAAATTTGATTATGTTTTGATAATATTTTGTTTCATGTTGAAACTATCCCTTAATTGGTTGAATCCTTAGTTAATCTCAATGTTCCATAGACATTGTCAAAGTTCACATGTGTCGACTAAAAAGAAAAAGAAGACGAAGTCTCTAAATGATATATTCGATGATTAATAAACAAGAACAAGAATCAAGAAGCATCTGTGTCAATATGTGTGTCGATACGCGTCCAACATGGGCAAGGCTCCTAGATAGAAGAATCCATTTAACATCAGAAAAGTTATTCGTACTCTTTATTAGTTTGTTAGAAAATCAACAATATGGAGTTACAGGCAATAATTAAAAATTGGTGACTCAGATTTGGACTTGGACTTGCTCGAGTCTCTTGGACTTGGCAGAGTGCTGGGTGTGTAACCCTGAGACTTGGTGCTATTCTGATGGGGTCTTGGATTTTCTTTGTATTTCGTCCGAGGACTCGGGCGAGTAGGACCGCGCTCGACCAGGTGGGCATCTCACTCATGCTTGGGACCCTGGAGAGTCGAGTCCTAGCCTACTATTTTTATTCCCTCCCCTCTCTCTCAAAAAAACAATAAAAAAGGCTTTGGTGGAATTCTTTGGGCTGCGGAATCATGTTTCTCTTTGTCCTCTTGTTCTGTATTTTGGAGTTTCTAACTTTCAGAGATACTAAACTGTTTGTTGCAATGGTAAATTAATGACATGATGAATAGATGAACCAGAAACATTGTGTTGCACAATTTTGCTTGGTTGCTTTTATGCCTTGTCTCAACACATTTTATTCTATTTCTTGTGCATTTCCTTGTTTCTGACTACCTTGGATGTAGCTTCTATGGCTTCAGCTTATGCCCACTGTCAAATGGCAATTGATTCATTTATCATATAATTTTGAAATTGAATTGAGATTGCTGCTTTGTTTTTTGCATGATTTGTTTCCCACAGGGGTTCCGACGAACATCTATGAATCACAGAGATGTTAGAGATCTGTACCTTCATTCGGTATGCCAACCCCACAACGATCTTCCTAAAGATGGTTATTGTGGTGATATTTTCCTAGTGGTTAAAAAATTGGGGACTCAGACTTGGACTCATCCTTATGAGTAACTTTGAGACTAGGGGTGAGTCTGTCTGATCACCTAGTTTATTTTGTAGTTTTAATAGAGACTCATCTAAGTGAGATCGCTAACTCAGCCTAGTCAGTCTCTGACTCAGGGTCAAGACCCTAGTGAGTCCTTGCTTGAGTCTGGGTTTTTAATCACTGATTTTTACCATCCTTTTGACTCATGCTAAACAGGTATTGACGCGTCGGACTGGATCCTTGGTTATGATTGCTGTTATTTATTCGGAAATGGTAAAGATGCTTCGATTATATGGTGTTGTAGATTTTGACATTGAAATATACTTTCCTCATGACCTTGTCAGTCTTCCTCAAGGCTATGATAAACAAAAAAGCAAGGTGTCTGATGAACCTCACATTATGACACCGCTATCACTTCTAGTGGAGGTAAGCATTCGTTTAGGAGACACTTTGATAGTTACCAAGGAGTAGTAAGCGAGGGTCGTTTTGGAAGTTTGTTTATGCATATCATTTATGTGGTGTCAAGAGGTTTTGTTGGATTTAAATGAGTAATGGTCCTTTGTGATTTAGATATGTTCTTATGCGAGTAATTTGCTAGAGATTACATGCATATAAAAAGAAATTATTGATATAATGACTTTAGGATAGAATGTGGCTTTTGATTCATACTGGGTTTTGGTACTATTAATTTGTAGCGATTCTTTTTATTTGGTTAATTGCGAACTTCTCATAAAAACTGACTATTGTGTGCTACATTAAGAAAGTGCCCGAATTGATAGCTAGGGCCTCTTTATGGTATTGTGACTCATCAGTCCCCGAGGCAAGGCTGTTGTTACCCATGGGTTTAAATAGGAGTGCAAAACTGTAAGAAACTCCGTATAAAGCATAATATAATAGTTTTTCATCACCTGTTCATTTTATTAATTTTGTATGAGAATGCTGATGAAGTTCTACATGATGACCCTGGTGATAGTTTATATGTTTTGTTGTAATTTGGAAATTCTGGAAGGAGAGAGAATCTTATTGTTAGAAACAAAGAAATTTATGGACGGTGCACCTTGAAAGTATCAAGTAGGATGACTATTAAACTAGATTCAAAGCAGAAGATAATGCAATATGAAGGCAAAAGGTTATTCGAAGCTTCAACCTATGTGCAAGAAAACTGATACCTGTTTGCAATAGATGTTCGAAGGGGATGGATCCTTCTGCAAGTTGTTAGAAACTATAAGAGATCATGATAATGGATTTCAGGCACTATGGGCATAACATATTCAATATGTGCAGATGTGCAGCAGTCCAAGCATTTCAGGCCCCTAGACTTTAGGGGTATGATCTGATCCAATGACTGTGAAAGGCAGCCGCCATTCTGTGCTGATAATTGGTTTGCCAACTGGTCCAATTGTGGCTAATTGGCCTCTATTTCAAATGAATTCTTTTTTGTGTCTGTGTGTTTGTTTGTGTTTTTAGTTTTGCTTTAGACTTTTGCTGATGAAATAGTTGCCCTATGTGTCTATCTGATTTGAAAATCTGGATCAGATCCAACGTTAGTCCAATTCTGTCTGGAATCACCTAAATCAGCATGTGGTTGGATTTGGGCAATGATGACTTTTGCCATACTTTTTGGCTTGTGTCTAAATAAAGTCTGTGGCCACTTTGTGGCTTCCATGCATCTTTTTTTCATAGTCATATGTTATCTTGAATTGCCTGCTTGTTACATGTCCAAATATTTGGTTTGCTTTTCGGGATGTCCAGTCTAGCAGTACAAATATGTGTATCTATACATTCCACCTTCAGTTTTATCCATCCTTCTTATAGAAGATCCTGCAACCAATGATACAACAACTTACGAGCTGGATTTATTAGCTTATCCTTTTCTATTTAGACCGCAATTGTATTTTGTAATGCATTTTAAGTGGATATTCATGCCCACAAAATCTGAACGTGATATCGATCATTGTCCTCAGAGCATGCTATAATCCAATTTGCTATGAGAACTCCATAATCCATTGGGTCCTCACCATGAATTGTAATGACAGAAAGTGATGTAGAGGCATGCTGGTTTTCCATAATCCACTGCATCATAGTTGTCCATATTGTCCCCATAATGTTGCAGCAAAACTGTTTTATCCTTACAATTAGTAGTTTTATGCCTGTCTCCTTTGCATGCAGATGTTGAGGGATCTTAAGGATGCTTTCTGGCCATTTCAGTATGGCCGGAACTGTAGTTTGTTCTTAAGGGCAGCAAGTGCTACCAATTTTGTTACTGGTTCCAGCATAATAGATGGGATTGCTTCTGCATCAAATGACAATGCAAGGTGAATGTTTAGATATGTAGAGAGCATTGGAGAGTTGTTTTGTTTGGTTTATAAATCACCAACTAGATTAGCATCTATATCATTGTGTGTGATTGTTTAAGTTTCTTTTGTAATTGCCTCCTTTTGCAGTGGATTTGAAGTTGCATCTATGAGGGCTGCTCAACATAGGCTGGGACGTGGAGTATGGACAGGTCCAAGATTTGGTGATATACGGCGAGCATTGGCTGGTAAGATTTGCTTTTGCATGTAAATGTTATTCTTTTCAGTGACTTTCTATGATACTCTAGAAATAGTGCATAATGTTATCCCGCTTTGTTGGAGAATGATGAGGTCTTTTATCCTTCATTTTGCAAACCAAGCTTATTGACTCAAGAAAACAGAGTACTATTGCTAAGTGGACTACAGAGAAACCATTGCCCATTGGATCATCACTTTTATTGAAATGATGTATGGTGATGGAGAGAGATTTGGGCTCACTAGAAGAAGACTCGTCATGGTTCCCACACTCTGCCCCATCACTATCCATCATATCAATGAACGGTAATGACCCAGTGGACAACGGTCTTCACATAGTGTGAAATCCTAGTATACTTTCTAAAATAACTGCAAATATATTTTATGATTTTCTCCTGTTTAGCATATGATGTGACATTATAAAGTTCAAAAACTACTTTTAATGGGGGTCCTTGATGATAAAATATTCCATGCTGGTATATCTTCAGTTATAATGATTCCCCAATGGCTTTGCACTTCTGGTTGCATTATTCCATATCTGCATTGGATTGTATAAAGATTCTAGAATGAGGATGCATGTGTTTTTGGAACAATTTTACGTGAATTGCATAATTATTCCATCACTTATTGTAGTTAATATTGTGGCCCCATGCTGCTACTAATGAAACCTCCTACAATGGAGGTTTCCTCACCATGAGCACCAATTTTGTTTCATGGTAGGTGTGGTGTTGTTGGACTAGATGGATGTACACACTAACTAGCTACTCTGCTTCCAAGAGAATATCTTGAAATTGCTCATATATTCATGCTATCCTTCCTGCTATATGTAAAAGATGAAAGTTGCAGTTCAAAGGATGTGGGATGGAAAAGGCTGACCCCATTTCATTCAAGTCAATATATACAAAGGGAGCAACCATTTCATTCAATTCATATATGCGAATGACAACTCTAGGCTCAAAAACACTTAAATTACAATAACGAGCAGTGAGAAAACAAGAATAATCAACAAGAAAAAAGAACGTAATGCCAAGCAGATTAGAAGTGATGCATTGACAAATTTAATCTTGCCACTGAATGAAAGCCTCCTTAAATGAACTGATCTACCTTCTGATGTCTCTAAAATGGGATCTGAAAGCTGCTCTTTGTGGGTGCTTGCAGAAGGCAGGTTCAGATAGAGCAAAGGAGACTTGAGGGAACTTTCTGAAATTTACCATGAAATATCCAGTTGCGCAGTTGTCTTCATTTTTCTGTTACTAATCTTCTCATGACATCTTATATAAACATCAAAGGCAATGCTTGCTCAACTAAGAGACATCTGAATATAATAGTGCTGTCCTTCCAATGATGATAAGATATTTTGTATGTCCATGCATTGGCAGGGATCGTTCAATGGACATAGCATACTTTGCCTTCCAAAGAATCCTTAGGTCTCCCTTTTGCAGGCCTACCCACCAGGGTACCATTCACCATAACTATAATAGGTGTTGATATACATACCTTACCCACTATTGCTGCTGTTGACACTAAAAAAAAAACATGAGAGAGAAAAGAAAATGCAAGTTTAGTAATTTTAGGAGTACAGATGAGGAAATAGTTAAGATTGATGGCTAAGAAATATAAAAAAAGAGTGCACTTTCGATATCTTGAGCCTATAATCTAGAAAAATGGAGAGATTGAGGAAGATGTTGCACATAGAATTAGAGTTGGGTGGGTGAAGTGGAGATGCGTAACTGGAGTTTTATGTGATCGTTGCATACCAATAAGCTCAAGGGCAAGTTTATAGGACAACTGTGAGATCAGCTTTGCTTTAGAAGGTGGAATGTTGAGTGGTCAAGAAAAAACGTACCCATAGGATGAGTATAGCTGAGATGAGGATGTTGAGATGGACGAGTGGCAAGATAAGAAGGGATATAATTCGAAATTAATACATTCGGGAGAACTTAGTTGTGACTCCAATAGGTGATAAGATGAGAGAAAGTAGACTTAGGTAGGTTGGTCATATGCAACGATGACCCAATACAACACTTGTTAGGAGATGTGAGTTAGTTCAAGTAGAAGGCTCAAAAAGAGCAAGGGTACGCCCAAGAGGACATGGTCGGAAATAGTGAAAAAAGATATGGGGACTTATGGCTTCACCAAGGGTATGACCCTTAATAGAGCAGAATGGTGGACTAGGATTTGTTTAGCTGACCCCAAATAGTTGGGAAAAAGCTTTGATGATGATGATGAGAGATAAAAGAAACTTATCTTTCTGAGCTGGCCCATCTAAGAAATCTTGTAGTACATGCTCATCGTCTTTCTCTTTGTCCTTTTTCTCAAAGTTACACACAACACTTATTTTTCAAGAATCCAAGATTTAACAACACTCAATGAACCTACCATGATTTTGGAAATACAAAAGGGGGTAGCTTTTTTTTTATTCTTCTAATCTTTACTATTGCCTAGTGATTGCGAACTAAAGGTTAAAACTTGGACTTTAAGGTTGAGTGCGATGCCTTTCATGTGGGGATTTGAGTTGTGCTTAGTCAAGAGCAAAGGCCTATTGCATTTTTCAGTGGAACACTCAATGATACAGGGGGGTGATATTCGATTTATGACATCGAGTTCTATGTCGTTATTCAAGCACTTTGTCATTGGCGACACTACGTAATTCAACATGAGTTTGTCCTTTACACTGACCACGATGCACTTAAAAGCATTGATAGTAAAACATGCAGAGTGGGTGGCTTATTTTCAAGAATTTACATTCACTATAAGGCACTAGTCCGGATAGCGAAATAGGGTGGCTGGTGCCCTTAGTTGACATGCACATTTGGTGAGGACATTGGTAGTGGAAGTAGTGGGTCTTGAAGTGGTGCATGAGGCCTATCTTGATGATCCTTATTTCAAGGCTACATTGGAGAGATGATGATTGAGATACAGTAAATCTTACCACCACTTCATCTTTCTGATGGTTGTTTGTTTTGTTGTACCCGTCTATGGGTATGTAATACAGCATTAAGGGAACTTCTCATTGCTAATTTGCATTTGGGAGGTCTTTGTGGACATTTTGGCAGGGATAGAACAATTGATGTAGGAAATATATTTTTGGATTTCCATGCCATGGGATGAGTACAGGTTTGTTAATAGGTGCATGAAATGTCAAGTGGCCATGGGGCATTTCCAAAAAAATTGGTTTGTATGCACCATTGCTTATTCCAACTAGGCGATAGTTGCATTTATCAATGGATTTCATTGTGGGATGATTGCCAAGGAGCGCGAGATGTCATGATGCAATTGTAGTAGAAGTGGATAAGTATTAGATGACATTTTATACCATGTAGGCAGACCATTGATGCTACGATGATTGGTCATCTCCTCTTTAACGATAGTGTATTTTTGTGAAAACTTCCCAAAATCATCACATTGGACCGTGACACCAGCTTCCTTAGCCACTTTTAGCAGACTTTGTGGGGAAAAATGGGAACCAAAGTGCAATTCAATAGAGCTTAACACCCCCAAACTGATGGTCAAACAGAGGTAATTAATAGGAGTTTGGTGATGCAGATCAAGAATGGCTTGATTCAAGTAAAAATAAATTTCAAAGATGTGGGTAGATTTTTTTGGGTTAATTTTTAGGAATTTTATTTATTAAGGTTATGTCTTGTTGGGGGGATTGAAAGGGATTTTATTGTATATCTTGGGCATGCTTAACAGTTGTAGTTCCTTAGGATTGATGTGATCGGCTTTGCTGGATTCTAGGATCTCATAGTTCTCTTTTGATGGGAGGAGTTCCTAATTTGTTTGTTATTAACAAGATATGGGAAAAAGGAAAGAGGATAGAGTAGGCCATCACGTGAAGCCTAGAGTTTAAGATTTTGATGAGAGAATTCAACAAAGTGGGAAGTAGATGGATAAGTTCATCTTAGGAGAGTCCGTTTCTTTATTGAGTTGTATTTTTCCTAATGAATTTTGTAAGAAACCTTACACAAAAGTTAAGAACATGGATATCCTTTTCTTAAATGTACAAAGGTTATTTCTCTTTAGGCAAGACAGAAGTTATCTTAGTAAGTTCTCTTCAAGGGTTTTAGGAAGGAAATTCCTTTAAAAAGGGATATGGGATGTTTCATTGTAACAAGCATGGTTTTTGTTTTGAATGGAAGAAAGAAAAATTATTTTATAGAGAGTTAATTTATTTTATAGAGTGTGTGTTTTCTCTTAATTTTCTCTTTAGGTGATTTTAGCTGCATCAAGTTGGTATCAAAGCATGGTTGGAGGACAACTGGAGATTGCGGTGGCTGGTTATGGTGGCCATAGCGGTCGTAGCCCTAGGGATGCGATATGATCGGATTGTGCAAGGAAATTGACTACTTGACGGTGAGAGTTACATGGTTGTTGCGCAAATGAGAACAACAACAACGTGCCATAAACGAAGAGGAGTCTACAGGGATAAATCCAAATCGTGAGGATTTTTATGGAAAATGGCATGAATCAGCCCCAACACACAATGATGGCAGTTGTGAGTCGAACGCTAGTTTAGAGAACCTGTTCTATGCACACGCTCCGCGTTGTGAGCCTCATGTTCGGGTGAGTAGATTGTGAGATCTCAAGATTGAAGTTGACCTACCTAAGTTTGATGAAGAACCAGTTGAAGGTGAAGAACAAGTGCGCTTGGATCTTCAATTGGAATTATCATTCCTTCATGTCATGGGTGACCCTATTTTTAATGCAGGTCCTATATTTGATGAAGAACAAGATGAAAGGAAAGAAATTGGGCTTGAGGCAGCAAGACTATCTTTCTTATAAATGGAGAGATGGAGAAGCAAGATGTCCACCTAAAACCAGAGGAGATCAAGCCTATGAAGATTTTAGCGGAAGAAAGAAATAAGGTGATGAAGGAGGCACAAATTAGGGAGGCTAGAAATACAACAATGAGTATTTTGAAAATATGATATCAAATTACAAAAAAATGCGTGGAGGCTGATAATAAAGGTTCATATTATTTCACTGATGA